TTTTTTTTTTTTTTTTTTTTTTTTTTTTTTTGGCGGACAGGAACAGGGTGATTTCTGATAAGTGACGTATCGTAAAGAATTTTGTAAAAAAAGATTTTTTTTTTCTAATCACAGACTCGACGCTCTCGCACACGCATACATTTATGGATACGTATATGCTGACGATATGAGACCCTTTTTTTCACATATTGGTATGGGACTGGGTTGGTTGACTTATGTACTGGGTGTTTAAATTCACTTTAATAACGATGCATATCCGTCCACCCGTTCAACATGATTCTCGGTAACGCTCATACGGTTCCACCTGGGCAACGCGCGAATGAAAAGGAACAATATACGTTTACCTTATGAGGATTTTCGTCGGGTAGAATAGAGAGGGCCGGGCGAGGGCTCGGACTAATCTGATTAATAATAGAGAAATTTTCCTCGCTTTGAAATCACTGCGATAACACTGATAACGTGCAAATTTTGAATTTACATATAATACCATCGAGCTGGCAAAGGAGACTATGGCACGTTATATTTATGCTTTCCAATCGTTTTAACAAAAATTTATTCATTTATTCTTCCTCTGCTGTTGTTAAGGATTTTCAATTGGTTATACAGACCACGAGTTCACTCGAGTATCTTTCATTCGGATATTAAAGTACTAACCGACCGTTTCGCTCGATGAATTAGTTAATCGATATAACGTTCGACTGATTGCACTTGATTGACGAAGGTCCTACCTGCTATGCGTCCTCTTCCTCGGGCGATCGGCATCTGAGTTGCGCACGTTGATTGGCTGTCGCATAGTGATATATCCAATGGATTCGTCGTGACATTGATATTCGCCGTGATCATCTTCTTGCCAATTTGTCTCTCGCCATCTTGCTTCCCGCCCTCCGTCCGTTGCTGAACATTTTTCCCGGCGTTTGATCCATTCACGTGATTCACTTGTACACTTTGCTTCTCCTTTGACGCGACCAGCGCCAGCATCGCATTTATCTGATTCGGATCCGGTTGGCCAGCATCCACGGATCCTCTCACTGGAGTACTGCGAACATATATAAGAATTTTCTCTCTTGTAGATACAATTATTTTATCTAGACTCGATTCGGAGTAACTTCGGTATTTGAGAAATTCGACAAATTTAAAGACTTGGTCCACTCGTGCCTCAACCCTTTTAGTGCCGAACGACATATCGCTGCTTATGCGATGACGCCTTACTATTCGCATGGCGAGAGAACTCTGGCTCAAAATAAATTTATAAACTTTAGGGATTTTCCCTGTTTCGTAATATGTTCCTTTTTTTGAATTTTTTTTCAATGATTTTTTCTCTCCAAATCTTCTAATATACATCAAGTTCGTTCGGTACTCTTGCTTAAGTACAGTTCGTTAGGTCGGCGCTAAAAGGGTTGAAAAAAAAAACAAATTAAGCCGAGAAAGGTTAAATTAGAGAAAAATTAACCGAATGATCAATGAACAATCACCGAACGAAGATTGACTCTCAAGGATGTAATTGACAAGCGCCACGGTCGTTATCTGATAATATTGCTCGAGACACTGAGGTAATTAGTAAGAAATCGCTAATGGGCTCTCCCAAGTATTACTTGACAATTCTACGAGAAATATAGAGAACGTTACCGGGAGAATGAATTTCCCTATTTGAGTGGAAAAGAGAATTGGAGCGTAAAGATTATCGAGTGGTTCGTTTGTTCGAGCGTTATTCAACGAAGGCGGATAGCCGACGTCGTAACGACTTTTATCAACCCCCCCTCGATCACAGATATTCCCACAGTTAACCAAACGACCAGAGTATTATCTATATTCCTACTTTTAAAATCCTTTGATACTATGTGCGCGCGCGTGTATACAACCTATCACAGATACGAGAAAGCTCATAATTATCGGTTAAGTAAAAAAGTCGACACCGTGCACGATACTCGAATACGTGAGAGACGTCCTCTCACCTAAAGAAGTCCGTGACTCGAAGGTCTGGCAGAGGTGGAGTCCTTCCGCTAACGAAGGTAAACCTGGGCTCTTGATGAGCCCCGATCAGGGGCGTGGGCGGAGGAGCACCAGGACCGTCACCCAGGCAATTTTGAACGGGGCCCTGCACTTCAGGGGCAGTGCTATGCTGTTGCGGGTTTCTCACAAAGGTTCCAGTGCTTTCCGATTGGAAGGAATTCAGCCTGGAGGAGCGTTGGGGGGTCTGTTGATGTTGAGAGGGGTAGGTTGGGCTTGACTGGCTTGTGACGGGGGGTGGTGACATTTCGGAAGGTCCGTCTATCAGATCCAAACTATCTTCGGGTTGCTCGCCGTCGGTCGTTGTCACCTGAACAGACAACAACGTCTATGTAAATATAAGGGTAGGTGGATACGTCTCGATGATGAATGATTATCTGTTGTGTAATGTAAAAAATAATTAATATATTAATATAGCCTACCATTGTGACCATCGTGTTTGCGCTATCGGTACTCGTGTTGATGGTCGTGTCGGAGGTCGTGCTGGATCCCATGACGACGAGCTTCGGTACAGTGCGACAGCTACGACTTCCGCCAGCTGATCGAAAATTTAATCTACGCAGTGCGGAAGCCGCGTGTGCCAGGATGTCTCCGTCCTGAGCTTTTTCGGTGGCGTGGTGACCGCGCGACGGCGACGACTGCGACCCCCCGAAATCAGACCTGCCACCCCTCACTCCTACGCTCCTGCCCGGGGAACCCCGATTCTCCGAGCATCCCTATGCAGAAATAGAAAGAGAGAGTTAGTAGATTACATTTAAGGAATATATAAAAGTATGGCGAACGGGATAATGTACAGGGTGTCCCGGAATAAAAAGATACGGAGTATAGTATCAGGTTGAAGAGGAAAATCTGAAACAAAAAGTCCTGATCCACTTCTTTTTTTTACCGAGCTCTCCTCTTAGAGCTATAAACAATTGAAGCTGGTCTATCAACGCTGTGCATCCGCTGAGCATCCCTTTATCCCCCACTTGCCGCTTTGATCGGCTAGCTTTAATTGTTTATAACTCTAAGAAGAAAGCTTGGTAAATCAAGTGGATTAGGACTTTTTGTTTAAGATTTTTCTCTTCTACTTGATGATGTACTCCGTATCTTTTTATTATGGGACACCCTGTATATACTTTATTAACACGGTTAAATCGAACTTTCGAGCAGGTCCGTAGCTTAAGAAATTCATTGCCCGTGACTTGGACAGTTTCTCATTAATCATCTTAGCTAGATACATAATTCAGACCTGAGAGGGCCAAGTGTTGTCTTGAACACGCAAGGACCAAATCAAAGGTGTAACGTGCACGTAGGACCTCATATCATTTTTACCTTGGGTATCGTTCCGTCTTGATACACCCTTGAAACAAATCCTGACAACGATCCTGGTAAACTGAGGTTCACGAAAGGATACGCAATGAAAAGGTGTAAATTTGAAGAACGAAAATTACACATCACCTTTATGGATAATCAAAATTCAACATTTATCGAAAACCCGATACTACCCGTTAGATTGGTGATACGTGGCTAAATGTGCATTCGCAGCATGAATCGTTAGTGATATTGCACATCACTCCATAGATATTAATTCATCGGACTCCATTTTGTTGAGGTGTTTTTTTTTCGAAAAATCGTATGGAGAACGCAGCTCTTTTTTTTGAAATATCAAACAAACCTGGATAAATCTACTGGCATTTTATCTGTAATATTTTCTGTTTGCTTAATGCAAGCGAAATAATAACTGTTTTACCTACAGAAATGTAGACTCACGAAAATACCCGAGGATTCCGAGTACTGCGATTCAACGTTTTGCCGCAGTGATGACAATGGCAATGAAATCGTTATACAATTATTGAAATTCAAACTCCATATAATTTGTATGATTATAAAGCAATAGGTGTCTATCTTCGTGTAATAATGGTACAATGGCACAATCGATCGAGAACGTCACCTATGTCGTATCATATTATTAGGTGCCACCGAGCCACTGAGTAATGTAGGTCATACGAGGTACACACCGCATGTGCAATGTGTGCGGAATAACCGGCGTAGGATAAATTGCTCCACCCTTGACGCAGGTGCAGGGTCGTCTCCGTTTAACAGTAGCGTATTGCACTATCTGTATATATTTCATTTAAGAGCCAAGAACGCTACTACGCAGTATAAAATTACATACCCCATTGCTGTATATATTAGCTGTGTTTACTAGTTTTGCTGAATATTACTCCGTGCCTGTAAAGCCCAAGATTTTCCTCGTGTGTATTCCCATGGAGTTGATGTCACAATGATACAGAACTTGTTGGAAAGACTTTTTAACGCGAAAGCGTCCTTTTATAGAGATTTTACCGGTAACGCCAAAACACGTTCCAACGGATCGGCCATGTTGGATAGAACTACCGCCATCTACACTTTTCTTTTGTACTTGCTAACGGGGTCGAGAATTGTTAAAAAAAGAAAGAAGCGATACAGCAGCAACGTATGGAAACTGGTTTTGCACAAATTCACATAGAGACAATAGAAGAAAAATGACAAAAGCTTCGTTTGCAATGACACTGGATACACTGTCAACGATGCTTTTAATAAAAAGGTTAACTTCATACCTGCGCATTTCCACTGAACGTTAACAAGCTTGCCAATTGCAAATTAATTATCAGTTCGCCAATTAAGAACAGTTATCCAGCACGTGACAGAAACTCGCACGATTCAAAACACGAGAGGCATTACATTACGCTGCGATGACACTTGACGCCATACTGGATTTTCAACTCCCGACGCGCCGCGCTCGAGCGAACTTCGTGTCGCGAAGGAATGTTTTAGTTTCGTCGTACAGGAAAAATTTAATCATGTACCTACGCACGCAACCCTGACCCAACCTCTCCGTATATATACAAGGTTAGTCAGTAGAAACGCACCAGGAGAAGTTGGTCGCAAGTAACCACCACGGCAGTATGGCCTCTTCAAAAAAATGACATGTGACTGTGAGCCATTCCCATAAGCACAAACTGACAGTTCGCATAGCAATAAGGTTATTGAAATATTTCAATAGTTAGGTTACTGAAATAATTAATTAATATTGTAATGACAAAATATAATATCAG